GATCCATAAGGTGTGAACAGTTTGGAAGAGGAAAAGCTCTACCAGAATGCGATTTTCCTTAAATACCGATCTTCGCCAGTCTGAGGTGTGATCCACTGGCAACCCGCTTCAGTATTATGTGAGGTGGTGTGAGGTCGACTATGACCTCTAGTGCCGCAGTTGGACATGATCTCATTGCTCCTGTTATAGAGAGACACGCAAGTCTTTGCACCTTTCCTAGGGTTTTCCTAGCAGTTACTAGCCCGGTTCGGCTGTACCAAGCTACTGCTCCGTAGGTGATGATGGGTCTCACTATCATGGTGTACATCCATCGCAAGATTGATGGGTTGCAGCCCCACGTTTTACCCGCGATATTTTTGCAGACCATGAGTGCCGAAATTGCTTTGTTTTTTATGTTTTCCACGTGTCGATTCCAGAGAAGTTTAGAGTCTAGGGTTATTCCTAGGAATTTTACTTCTTGCTTCCAATTGAGTTTGCTTCCATTGAGGTAAATGTTTCTCAGATTTGGGAGTTTTGTTTTTCTTGTGAATGTTACCAGCGTGGTTTTCGCTGAGTTTAGATTCAACCCCACTGACTGACACCATTCCTTCGTGGTTTGAAGTGCTTTTTCTATAAGGTCATAGAGTATTCCTTTGAATTTGCCTCTGGCCATAATGATGATGTCGTCGGCATATCCAAAGCAGGTGAAGCCCTGGTCGGTCAGTACGCCAAGGAGATCATCAACCACTAGACTCCATATCAAGGGTGATAGTACCCCTCCTTGTGGACATCCTCTAGTTGTGTTGACTTGTATGGTTTGCTCACCTGCGTCAGATTCTGCAGTTCTGGTTGCAAGCATTTCGCACATCCAGGTGGATGTTGTTTTGTCTACTCCTTTCCTGACGAGTGCATTCTTAATTGATTCATGAGAGGTGTTATCAAATGCCCCCTCTATGTCTAAGAAAGCACAGATGGCTACTTTCTTATTTTGCAGTGTGTTCTGGATGCTATCAGAGAGTTCAAATAAAAGCGGGTTCTGTTGATCGTTCCACTCTGTAAGTATGTTGTCGAGGATGTAGTGGCGTTTTTTCCAGAACACTTGTTCTGATGTAGTTATCTACAACTCTATCTACTGTTTTCAGTAAGAACGATGTAAGGCATATAGATCTGAACAACTTCGGTAGAGTGGCGTCCTTTTTCCCTACCTTTGGGATGAAGGTTACCTTGGCTCTTCTCCATTGAGTTGGCAAATACCCGGTCGCTAAACTGAATCTGATCAGTTTCATCAAATACGGCATAATTTCATTTTGCCCTTTTTGCAGCAGGGCTGGAAAGATGCCGTCAACTCCAGGCGACTTAAATGGTTGGAATGTGTTGATCGCCCAAATAAGCCGCTCGGGAGTGCAAAGGTTCTTGGCAACCTCCTAGTTTTCTTGCCTGGTTTTCTTGGGTTGACCTTTGCTATCTCTAGTACTATTGATTGTACTTCCTGGAAAGTGAGTTTCCAGTAATAGAACAGCTCGTTCTTGCTCATTTTATGTGTAGCTACCGTCTGGTTTCTTAAGTGTCAGTGGTCCTTGCGTCCTGCCTTTTGCCAGGGTTTTGTATAGTCTAGCTGCTAGTGGAGTTTCTGTGATGGATTCACAGAAATCTCTGAAGTTTTTGCGTTTGGCCCTTCTAATATCTTTGTTGTATTCAGTAAGCCTCTCGGTGTAACCCTGACATTCTCCGTCTCGTTTTGCTCTATTAAAGAGCCGACGTACTTCGGATCTAAGTAGTGACAGGTGGTTACTCCACCATGGGCTACTACTATTTTTGTTTACTTTTTCTTTTACGGGACAACTGGATTCATATGCCTCCATGATTGCCCCGTTGAGAAACTGGAGCGATTCTTCTGCTTCTCGTGTGTTCTTGCACCTAAAGTTATTTTGATTTCATCATATTGTACGTCGAGCTATGCTCAAATGACTATATTAGCAAACCTACTACGCAGAATTATTTACGACCTTAGAGCGCTTGTTCAGATGTCAGTGAGTTCTTGAACTTGCAGGTGTTGAGTTTTCGGCATTCCGTGCCGCCAGCGCGCCTGGTCATGTAAGTAAAATTGAAAGGGAAATAGTTACAAACATTATTTTTGTTTTTTTGCAAAATTAGTATTAAGGATTTCATTTAGTTGCCTAGAATTACAATTTATTTAATTTTTTTACTCTATTTAAGAATAAATTTTGATATTTTGAATTATTTCGTACATTTTACTGCTGGCGGCACGCAGTGCCGCAGCGCGCCTGCTAATGTGATTTTCAAATGCGCGCCCGCCCGAGGGTTAAGATTGCATTGCAGGTTGGTTGTGTATTCTTCCCAGTTCGTGTTTCTGGGGTTTCTGTACCAGATGGTTCGTTCCTGCACTCCTTCTATATCAAATATTATTATTCTGTGATCAGAGAGAGAGGGTTCATTGGACACTCTCCAATTCCTGATCATTTGGTCGATATTTGGACTACAAAGTGTTAGGTCTAACACCTCCTGTCTTACCCTAGTAACGAATGTTGGTGTATTCCCTACATTTAGTATATTAAGGCTAGTTTGAAAAATGAATTCTAACAGTTGCTCAACTCTTTGGTTTGTGTCGGTACTTCCCCAAATAGTGTTGTGGGCGTTGGCATCGCAGCCGAGTAGGAGTGGTAGGTTGCTCCTGTTACAGTACTCGACTAGTCCTTGTACTTCTTCTAGTGGTGCTTGCCCATCTCCAGCAAAGTATCCTGATGCCAGTACTAGTTCGGTGTGGTTGATCGGTGGTAAGGTTTACCCGAATGGCAACCAAGTCCCGCGACGTGAATTCTGAAAGACATAAGTGATGAATGTTTTCTTTCAAGAGAATGCATGCTCTAGGGTCGTTACACCGAGTGTCCCAGATTACTTTGGCCTGTCCACCGGGAAGGCCTCTGACTTGCCCTCCATAATCCCAGGGTTCCTGGATTAGTACGGCCTCCAAGTTTGCCGTAGTGAACAGCCGCGCTATGACAGCAGATGCTCCCTTAGCGTGGTGAGTGGTCACTTGGGCAATTTTGGTATGGTTCGCCATCTTACCTGCTATTATTTTTATCTTCTGGTGAGATGGAGTGTATTCCTCCTATTCGCCCAGAAGCATGTTCTCTTCCTCGCTGGGAATTTCGGCTGCCGGAGCAAGGGTCTTTTCCCCTTCCTCGAGGCTTTCGTCCTCTTCACCTTATTTACCCTCCAAGAAAGATTCAGGCTTGGAACCTGAGGAGGTGGGCTCCTTTGGTTCTTCGTCCGACTCTCCCCTCTCCTTTTTCTTTCTCAGGCCATGGACGGGGATTTTCCCGAATCTGAAAAAGATGCTGTGTCCCATTCTTTTAATGGCCTCACAGGACCCATCGTCAATGCCGATGTTCAATAATTGACCATTGCCTTCTTCTTTGCTGCCTAGTATTTTCCACAACTGGGTGTTAAGCCCCTCATTTTGGGTTTTTACTAGGCTAAGAATCTTTTGGATTTCTTGCCCTTTACTTCTGGGCAAGAAGACTGTGATGGAGTGCGCTTTCGAGATGTCGTCTCCCATGCACACCATCAACTCTGTTCCCTGCCATGTCTCAAGTTTGGGGACGTGTTCCTTCAGCCACTCCACCGTTTCCTTGGTGAGGCAATCGATCACCAACATGCTTGGGCGCAAGTGTATGCCCCCAAATTGGAGCTTGGGTTCCGCGCCCTTTGTCATTTCTTCCACAATGGCATCCTCTAGTGTCGAGAGTTCCTCTGCACTGAGAGTCTCCTCAGGGAATGCCACGGGGAGTGCAGCAACTTTGATGGTTCTTGCTGACTCAGCGTAGCTGGTGCTTGACCCAGCGGCTTCGTCAGCATGAGAAGGTCCTATTTTCCTCCTTTTTACATCCGCTTTATGCGGAGGGGTTATGTTTTTGGGCCACTTTTGTATGATTTGTCAGCGATTTTCTTCGCAGGGCATTTTCTCTGGCTTCATCAGGTGTCTTGCCCTGTTGAAGGAACCTGAGGTACCACTTCACTCCAGCCCCACTGAGGCCTTTTCTCAGCGGGTCGTCAACCCCTCCAGGTTGTCCAAGAGGTGGCTTGTATGCAGCTTTCTTTGGTTGAGGTTTCTCCCCCATGGGTTTGGTACCCTGCTTTTGTTTTGCTTTTCCCTCCTGTCCCCAAGGTGATCGCGGGTGCTGAGAAGTTCCTGCACGCTGACTTTCTCGGATGTCATGCTCCGTTTGGTCAGCTTTTGACGTTGCGGTGTTATCCCTTATTTTCATTTTTGTTTGTTTTCTTATCCATGTTGTTCCCACGAATAGCTAGGGAAATAAAGGTCCACCACGTCGGAGCCTCGCGCGACGTGGTAAGGCTGCTTACTTGAAGAGTTCGCCTGATATCTTCAAGGCTCCGTTCAGGGCGGTGCTCTCCCACCGTCATGCATCCCTCGGAACGAATCACGTGACACCTTGGATTGGATTTGTTGAGCTGTCCTTCGTTTTCGCTGCCCATGGCCATCCGCACCGACCAGTTCAGCCCAGGACAAAGCCGCAACCCCGGACTAACGATGAAATCGCGTCAATTCGGGACCGCGGCCCAATCCCGGAACAGACTAGCCGGTGAAAACGGTCACTAGCATTTACTCAAGCCCCCCCCCACCACCAACGACAAGGTCTCACAGGGGGGGGGGTGGTGGTGATGAAAGACTTGATCGACAAGGTAGAAATAAAACAGGTCTCGGTAGCTCAGTTGGTAGAGCGTTGCACTGGATATGCGAGGATCCTGGCTTCAAATCCTAGTCGAGGCAAGAAAATTTTCCATCAATTTTAATTGAAACGTCTGCATGCCATTAAAACACACTTTAATTATTTCTTCGTTGTCCAAAGAACCGTGAATCATTGGCCGAACACGGTGGCACAAAATAAAACCTGTGAACCGGGAAGTGAACAAAGTTTATACGTTCTTACGTAAGGCCAATGCAAATATTGGCTTATACCGATTAATTTTTGTTTCAGTTTTGATGTACGCGGCAAATCCATGTCACAAGCTAGACATTGGTCCGCGCCGGAAGTATTTGGTACCAGAGCCCATTTTCAGACGGTGTCTGAGCCTGCGCAACTGGTCATCGAGGACGTCAAACGTCACGACGAAGGAGTGTACAGGTGCAGAGTGGACTTTAGGAATGCGCAAACGCGTAGCGTCCGGTACAATTTAACGGTGATTGGTAAGTAATATTCTGAGTATAGATAAAAACACATTTCGTACATATTGGTCATTGCTATCTCAGGCTGTAATTGATAATGGAATTTAAATTACATGATGCTGCGAATTTTATTTAAGTGGTTGAATGATAATTATTTTTGATGATGCTAAAATTGGTTCTGGTTACGTTGAATGTTGTTGATATGGTTCTATGGCAGGTTGATTGCTCGTTTGATTTTGAGATGTTTGAATAAAAAAAGGATGGAGTTTGTAGAGAAATTCTAGGAATTTCAAGGAATTGGATAGGGTCAAAATTTACGTGCTGTTTTTTTTTTGGAACTAGATATGAGTCTTTAATATCTTGCCAGAATCTAACGCTACAATTGAAGCTTTCTAAAATACTGTCGAATCTGGTGTAGAATGGTGATAATATTTTCAATTTGAAGTAACAGGTGTTCTGTTGCTTCATATTATTATCTCTCATATTTCTATAATCAGAGTAAAATTCTCAAATGAAGCAACCCAAGTGTGAACCACCGATTTTAATTATTCCCTCATCAAAACGCTAAATGGATATGTCAAAACCATGCATTTAACAATTGCTACCTATAACGAAACTCTTCAGTTTGTGCAACTGCTATTATTCACGATTATAGATTATCGGGGCGCAAAACTATTCAGCCGTTCGTGCCTGCAAAACTGTTTTAACAGTTTGATAAAATATCTCATTATAATCTCAAAAGCTTTAGGTGGTCAATCCACTGACTGCAATAATCGGTCTTTTTCAGTTTTCCTCGACATTACTTAGGGAAATTAATAGAGGGAACGGTGTTTATGGATAATATATTCAAGGTAGTCGATGAAACAAATTATCCCCGCAAACAATTTTTCATTCACTATCACTGCTGGTTTAACTTCGCCTATGAATTTTTGCTTGAGACAAATGCGAATTAGTAACTTTAATATGTGTGTCTTAAAATGAACACTTTGTATATCAAATAGAATAGTGTATGGAAAATTAGTAACGTAGGTATTTGCATGGTATACAACACCTGGAAATTATATTGGAATACGGCCAAAGCCTTTTTGCTAATGTATAAGAGACGTTTCCGAATAGTTCAAAGTTATCGTCGGTCGAAACCGAGAATGGTTAGGAATTCGGTAATTTCGAAATGTTACGATCCGGAAAGTCGATTAGGTGAATAGTTTCAAGGGAACTTTATCCAATAATTAGCCTTTTTGTATCTAGTTTTATGTGTATTGCAGCTATATAATAATTCTAATTACATAAAAATAGAGAATAGATGCTGCTTGGAAAAAAAACCAAGTGAAGAGCTTAATTAAAAATGTGAACTTCTAGTGAGTGGGTCGTACCTTAAATCCTAAAGTGTTTTAAATGAAATCATATGACCACCTCATGAACATTTATTTTAGTTCTCCCAGAATCTCCCATTATTCTGGACAAATGGGGTCGTCAATTAAACGGTTCAGTAGGACCTCACGTGGTTGGAGATACAATCATATTGACTTGTAGAGCTGCTGGAGGTCATCCTCAGCCTAAAGTGAGATGGTTAATAAATGGATTGGTCATTGATGACGAATATGAGCGTGACGCAGGAGACGTTATTGAGAATAAGTTGACCTATACTTCAGTGTCCAGGAAGGATCTAGATGCCATTTTCATGTGTCAAGCTGAGAATACTAAGCTTACTGAGCCTAAGGTTGCGGTGGTTGTGCTAGAACTTATTTGTGAGTATGCTTTTCAATTGCTTTTAATTAATTTATTGCATCATTCAAAGAATATTTTTCAAGCTTCCTGAAGTCTTTTCTAGGTTATCATTTAACACTTTTGACCGATTCCGTTCTTTTAACTGATTTGTCGATAATTATATGTTTTATTCTGCAGTGAAACCACTGGTAGTCAATATAGTAAAAAGTGACATTCCGTTGGTAGCTGATAAAAAATTTGAAGTCACGTGTGAGTCAGTTGGATCCCGACCACCTGCAATAATCACGTGGTACAAGGGGAAACGTCAGCTTAGACGAACAAAAGTAAGTAATTAATTGTGTCCTTGTGGACTGTTATTTAATTATAATTTGTCTACCTAATATATTGGTGGTCTTCAATATTTAGGCTTATTTCACAATAGATAGTAATCTCAGGAACTCTATAACTGTTGCAATCACTAAATTCATTCTGGGATCATCTGCGTATAAGTTTATGGTGACATACTCGATATATTTAAGTTATTGAAAAAAAAAGGTAAGAAGAAAAACATAAAATATTATTTTGAATGGTACTTCGACCAGACACTATGTACTAAAATTACCTTATTTAATCAATTGACAAAAAATATTATTAAACTAAAGAAAAATTGAAGAAAAAATTTGGTCCCAAAACTGACACTTTAATGGAATTGAAATTAAAAATAAAGGACCACCTCTTTGAAGAGCCTTTACTAAACACTGGGCGGCAGATGAACTGCAGGATGAGAAAAACGGATGGAGAACTCGTTGAGATTTTACGATTTAAATTTCCGGCGACAACTGGCGTTAACTGGCTTCCACACTCGCTTGAATAGGTACCCTCTGGGTACCGCTTCATAAATCTATTGTCTATCTATTACAGCCGGGGTTGAGAGTCGAGAAAATCGAAGATCTTCAACCCTCCTAGCTTTCAGCAATTTTTTCATTAGTTATCAAGTTGCATCAACCTTTCCTATTCACATTGCTTCACTCTGTGATCCAGTTTGTTGAATCTTCAACCGAGTTCACTAGTTACATGTTGTAAAATTAATAATAAAACATTTAACGTTTTCCCCTTTAAATGAAAATCTTTCCCTTTTTTCTAATTATGCCTTCTATTCTAATTTTCTAATTTCTAACCTAATCAAGTCAATAAAATAAAAGTTCCCTAATTTCAAATCTAATGATCAAGGATGTGAAATGAATAAGCTATCCTCTACTAATTTATTCATGAAATCATTGAGTTATTCACTCCCATCTTAACCTATTTATATCTTAATTATAACTAAACATTTAACAATCTTACAGTTTACATATCATCTGAGTAATAACCCTTGATGATTTTAATGATTTTATTGTTATACGTACAATTTAAGTATGTTATTGTATCTTAAAAAATCTAGCTCATGTAATTATTGTTTTCTTTCACACACACATGCCTCGAATATGTATAATTTTTTTCGGCAACGGTATCAGTTATCTGACATCTGGGTTTGCCATAAAAAGTGGGCATTAAGAAGATTATCCTTGACTTTGAATAACTTATTAAAATCTCATGTGATTCGGTACAACTACAGATAAGCTTAAAATTTAGTGTTTATCTATTTAGGAAAACATAACTTTTGCCTATATATTGCCAATTTCGCGTTACAGCCAAAAAATATTGAAACTATAAAATTCGATACTTTTTCGGCTTTTAAGTGCTTTTATCCTCGAACAGATTATGTCGTTTCCAGGAACTCCATGAGTTAGTTAATTAAATTAGGGTCACATTTTAATTTTCTATATAAAAACAAAACTGTTTCTCACGAAAGATGAACCTAAACCGAGATTATGAATTTACTATTGATTTTGTTTAATCAGTAAACAAGAAGTAAACGTTATACGTCCGTATCCTGATTTCATCATTCACTCACATATAGACCAAATATTGCTACTCCACGTATTGGTGTATACAAAAACGGTGTACCTGAACATGATTCTGCTTTCATCGTTCATTTTGTTCCCGTTCACCCCTATGACTGTTTATCCCTACCAATCATCACCTCTAGCCCAGTTTACTTTGCACCATTAGCATCTCAGTTTTTTATTCAAATTTGGAAGTCGACCTGGTACTAGGCTAATTATCAGTTCTGCAAACTAACCCAAACTCATCTTCGAGCCCATCTGCTGCGTAACATCTCTTAGTTCTTGGATTAGAAAGACTTAAGTACAATGTAATCTGCGAACCTGAGATTACTCAGCTTTTCCTTATCGATACTCATGCCTCAGTAAAAGATTTCAAAAGCGTACGATCTCCTATTTTTTTTTTTATTCCGATATCATAATATGTTCCAATTCAAAAGCATGCTTTTCTGAGCGCAGGGATTTAGTTGAAGGTAGCAACTTTTATGTACAGCGGTTTTCTCGAAAGCAAATAACAAGAGATACATAATTAGAATTGTTTTGTAATTTTACCTCTCACAAAGATTCATGAAATCCGTTTCTCGTGTTAGTCTTTTCTGTTGAAATAATTTTCCTAATTCGCCTGTCATTTTCGTTGTAAAATAAGGAATAACTTTTTTACTAATGCACATGCTGTATGAAATATTTGTGGCACAACATAATAAAACCGAAAACCCCTCAGCATCCATAAACACTAATTATAGAAATTAATCTGCGTTATTATTTTTTAGGAAGAAACAATGGAAAATGTAACAATTAGCGAATTAAGTTTCGTACCGACAACAGAGGATGATGGAAAATCCATAACTTGCCGAGCAGAAAATCCTAACGTTACTGGATTGTTTTTGGAAACTTCTTGGAAAATTGACGTTGTTTGTGAGTAGTCTTTTTTTCTTTTAATGAAGAAAAGCACACAGAAGAGTGATATTATATCTTCCTCAAATGTAGATTTTTGACTGTAGGACTTTTAAATTCGCGCCAAAAATCAATACTTGTTTGTCGATTAAATAAAATACTGTTTTGACATCATTAATTAATTATAAGACTTTTCTTATTGAAGCCGTTTCGTAGGAATCTACATGTATAGAATACACTTTTGCGAATAGTAGTGCTGTTTGTTGAGTAGTTTTAGATGTTTTTTTTTTACTCAAGAATATATGGAAACCGCTAATAACTAATTAATTATTATCTCAAGTTTGTCATATCAGTACCAAAAAAAAATCTCATTTTTTTTCCAGATCCTCCAATAGTGGAGTTAACACTTGGAAGTACTCTTAACGCAGACGATATTAAAGAAGGCGACGATGTATATTTTGAGTGCAAAGTTAAAGCCAATCCCCAAATGAGACGACTCACTTGGCTACATAATGTAAGTACATACCTACTTTTAAAAAAGGTCATATATATATATAAAGAACATCGTAGAGAAGTTTTTGTTCACAATTGACCTAGGTATAGATAGAACAAGCGTTCACTCTTTTGATTTTTCAGGACATGATTTTACCTCACGACATGTCAAATCGCATAATACACAGCAACCAGAGCCTCGTGCTGCAAAAAGTCACTAAACAGAGTGCAGGCGTATACAGGTGTTCGGTTGTTAATTCAGAAGGTGAAACAGTCAGTGACGAGCTGCATTTTCGAGTAAAATGTAAGTATATATAGGTACGATGCAAAATGTATAGTTTTTTCCTTGGGTTTCTGTAGTTGTAGTAGAAAATACTGGTTTCTGACGATGTACCCAATTATTTTAAGCTAAACATTTCTAGATACTCCAATATGCAAAAACGATCAAATCGTCGTAGTAGGAGCCTCGAGAGGCGAGAGCATCGATGTAGTATGTGAAATTGAGTCTGATCCACCAGCAAAGGTACATTTGAAGTAATTTCTCTTTAAATTTCCTTATAAAACTGATATTTATAGAGCTACAGATGGAAATTCAACAATTCAGGTGAAACTCTAGATCTGGAATCGGAACGTTATGCCAAAACCAGTAACGGTAGCTTGAGTATACTTAAGTACACCCCAATAAATGAGCTTGATTACGGTTTATTATCCTGCTGGGCCTCAAATATTCTTGGCAATCAGGTTAATCCTTGTATTTTTCAAGTAGTTGCAGCAGGTATAAATTTAATTCATTGTTCAAAATCTTATAAATATCACTCGATAAATTTCTAGGTAAACCATTTCCGGTAAAAAATTGCACTTTAACCAACAAGACAAGCAATTCAATAGAAGTTTATTGTCAACCTGGTTTCGATGGAGGCTTGCCTCAACATTTTTTACTTGAAATGTACACGACAAACTCAAAAGTGCCTCAGTACAATGTCACTTCGTACAATGAACCTTATTTCTACTTGGACAATTTAGAAACAGAAGTTACTTTTGGAATCGTGGTTTTTGCTGTGAATGCCAAAGGCAGAAGCGTGGCAGCGGTTTTAGAAGAAGTGACGTTTGGAGACGCTGCAAAAAGAACTGGCATGTAGTTTTATTGTTGATTAGCGCTTAGTGAATAATTTTTTAAGTTTGGTTCATTTCATTTTAAATTTAACAGTAAACGAATATATTTTGAATATTTGACTTTTGACTGGAAAATTTAAATCATAAAAAATTTCGAGGATTTATTATGTGAGATTTGAGAGGGTCTTAGATTTTACAGCGATTATGCGATGTACTATGGACAAGCAAAATGTTCAGATGGCTCAATGGTGGTTAGAAAGACGAAAATCTCGAAAACAATAAGCTACATCATTTAATGTTTAACATTTTATGCACGACCTAATATGTTTTTACAGGTGGTCGATCAAATACATAATAGTGATATTTTTCTTCTAGCCACAGATGGGGATTTAGGATTCTCTCCATTTTTTGGTGTCATCGTAGGCGCCGCAATGACCATCGTAGCAATTATATCGATTGTAGTCGTACGTTTGCGAAGGTCACAAAGCAAATCCCAACTGATTTTAGATAAACAAGTTGCCAGTGCGACTCCGCAAGCTGATACCATGACTTTTAGCGGTTTCACGAAAAGTGTATCACCTAGAGAAACGGACGAGAAAGATCCTGATATTATACCAGCAAAGTATGGTGAGTAATTTTAAATTGTCAAATATAAGAGTTTGCAGTTTCCTAATGCTCTTTACTAGCTGCCTAAGAAGGCGTTTTGTTTACCCAAGTGCGGCAACATCTTTTATAAAAAAAATCCTGTCTGCTTTTTTAAAATTTCAACGATATCAGTTCAAAAAATTGGTATCTTCCTTACAATTTAGTTGTACTCGCAATTAATAACTTAATTTGAATACTTGCCTGTTTAACTGTTCCATTATTTATTTTGAGAATAGTGGTACAGCTGCATCCTTTTCGATAAGCAGACTAATTGGTTGGTAACAGTTTATTTACCTTCATATGGTCCTGTACCTGAGAGTTAACCACCTTTTCCAGGATTTTTGATGTAGCAGGTAGGACACTAATTGGCTTCAAGTCATTCAATGTTGGATTTTCAACTTTTGCCAAGGGTACACCAGACCAGACTTTCACAAACTAGACACTTTCCTTCCAAAAGTGAACTGTTGACAAAATTGAGTATAGGCTCTATACATGATGGAAGACATAATTTGAGCATATTTGATGCAATACCGTCAATATCCTCAGCATTTGCTTTCATTAAATAGAGGGCTTTCTGAATTTCTAGCCTGTCTACCAAAAACAAAGAGAATTGTTCCCTTGTGGTCAGATTGTTCTCAAACACTCAGATGGTTCCTTCACTAACTGATAGTGATGGAATACTGCTCATGAAAGCTTCATTCAATAATTCAGGATTATCCATATCGGGTGGAAGTTTTTTCATTGGTTTTCGATGAATATTTAGAGATTTAATTCTTTTCCAGGTCTCAGCACTGCCACGACTGCATTTACGAAGTTTAGATGTGAAGTAGGCTCTGATTTCTCCCTCTTGATAGCGGTGCTAATGTAATTTTTTAAGTCAGAATATTGTGAGAGGCCCGATCTGTGAAATCTATAAAATACTCTCCTTTTTAACTTTAACATGCAGCGTAGGTATATTATATGTCATCCATGGACAAGTTTGTTTCTTAAAGGTCCTTTTGATTTTTGGTGCATGTCTGTCAAATAAGTTGTGTATTTGAGTAGTGAAATACTCAACTTTGAAGTTAATGTTGCTGTGATATAGTGGGAGGAAGTCAATATCATCCAAGTTACTCCCAAAAGATGTGGGCTCGATCGATCTCAAATTCCTATAAGTTCTTTCTTGGGGCATAGGTGTATATGCTGCACAAGAGAAGTCCAAAAAAATTGCCTCATGATCTGTGATGATTGGCTCAGGGGAGATTACACCGCTTTCTACTACAATTTATATACTACAATAAACAATATGATCCAACTTGAGAGTTTGCTGTTATTCTTGTCGGGTGCCAATTGGCTGATGAAAGCCAAATAATGTGGCGACCTGTTTCAAGAACTTGTAGTCACATTCCTGTGGTGAAAGCATATCTATATTGAAGTCACTCGTGCAGATTATAATGTCATTAGACACAATTATATCAGGTAGGTGGTTTGTAGATAACACCAATAGTGATGTGTACTTTCTCGATTGTGACTCGTACCCAAAACTGGTAACTGGTCATCAATTTTGACAGTCAGGCAGCATTTAAGGCTCTTAACAGCTTTGTCAGGTCGCAGTGCAGAGAGGTCCATCACCTAAACGCCCCTAACACAATCTAATCTAATCTAATCTAACATATAGTGCAAACCCACGTCTTCATCTATCTTTACGGTAAAGTTGGTATTCATCAATGGTATTTATCATTGGCAATCTCTGGAAGCAAAAAACTCTCCGATATTGCAAGAAAGTTGGGTTGATATTGCTTGGTAAATTCCAGAACGTCTGTAGATTTGTTGCACATTGATGTAGGATTTATGTGGACCAATCTCAATCTGGAACTTAATTGACAATTTCTATCACTAGTAATTCTTCCTTGGTTACCCGACACGTGAGAAGATACTCTATTTGAAACCTGTAATTGCTATACACTATAGTTTACTTTAGATTTGTTGTTCTGAATGACTTTTTGGTACAAAGGTCACTACAGAGAGTAGGCTGTGTGACTTGTCCATCCATTTGTGTGAAATTTGTAGACAATTTGGACACTTTCTTGATTCCGTTACTAGTGCAGGATCTTGAGCTGTGACCAGAAGCCGAGCCACATATTTCTTGGTCTGTCTCTCAGTCTTTGGCTAGGTGATTGAAGGAGCAACATTTGAAACATTTGAAACAAACTGACATACTCATATACTGATACCCTATTCAATTCCAACAAGCAGTAGTAAACTCTTAGAACACACTCCACTATTATTTATATGCAATAATTTTCAAGTCACTCGACTCTATCCTTAGGTCTACAAATGGCTGCCAACACTTGTGTCACCGAGAAACCTGGTTCAAAAGACACAATTTTTATCAATGGATTATGTCTTTCAGATATTTTGATATCATACTCACTCCCTAATTGGTTATGTATTTGTTCAGTTATTTTGGTTGCATCTTCGAGTGCACCACACGTAATTATTAGTGGTTCTTCTCGACCTTTCTTCAAGCCTCGGATGTTTGTTTCCATTAGTGTAGGGTAAATTTTTTGTTTTATTTCCTGCTCTATCATATAAGTACTCTATTTTTTTCAAGTAACTCTATGATATCGTCCTTTGCCTTCAAAAGCTTTATTTTTTCCTCTATTATTATATCCTTGAATGACACGATTCGCTCATGTAGGAATTTCAATATTACTTGGTCCTCAGCAAGTTTCTGAACCTCAGAGCCAGTATTCGTGGCTTCCGAACCTGTTTCCCAAGTATGACGCTGAAACTTGGGCATTTAACAAGAATTTAACTGATAGAGGTTTCCTCCCCTACTTAATTCAGAGAGTACTCCTACAAAAAAAAATTAAAATTCAGGGACAAAATACAAATTTAAATTATTGAAGTGTAGAGACACCTTTACTTTAGTTGCAGGATAACGGTACTTTTCAACTAAACAGCATGCCTGGTACCAAAGTTGAATGGTCTGATTCGGCTTGCTGGAAGCAATCGTCAGCTAATACAGCGGACAAATGGATACACTCAGGCCATAATTTACCTTTACGTTCCACCTTTATTTCATTAATTATTCCTCAATTAGGCTGAAGACACAATGACAAATACAAGGTACAAGAAACAAGATACAAAATATCAATAACTCGAAATTTGTCTTTATAATAATTGTAAATTGTAAAAAAAATAAAGTAAATTGTATCCTTTTATTTTGGGTTACAGTATTGATCGATGAACTATAAACTACACGTACCATCGTCACCAAAAGTAACTGGGATAGCAACATACATATTAGCTCTTGTACTATTATATGACTTTTAGTGTCAAATATTTGTCAAACTATCAATAAAATAAATGATGGTAGAAATAGTCCAGGAGATTATTATGGATTATTTTTATACCAGATACTTTTGGCGACGATAGTACATGGAATGGCCCGGCCTATCTATAAAATGAGGCAAATTAAGATGCAGAATGTGGGGGATACTGAGGAAAACCACCTATTTGAAATATTATTTCTTCAAATCTCAACTTTTTAAAAAAACGTTTACTGAATAAAAGTAAATGTTGCAACCATGTAATGCGTTGTGACGTTTTTCGGAACAGCGGCGCGCCACGGAAAATGAGGATACCGAAATCGAAGAGGAGATAAGAGAATGAGAGGCTAGACTAGAGAAGAAGATTGTCCCTTAGACGCTTGTCTGCCATTGTTCATTATTCAATTTCTATTTTTATTTTGTATATAATTGATTGTTCAATTCAATTTGTGATTAGTTTGTGTGTTAAAAGGAGCATTCGCAGGTCAGTTGAATAATTGTTATTTTGTTTTGAGAGATCAACTTATACAAGTATTATTTATTTTCTTCATTTTTAGGTTTTTTTTTTTTGTTTGTTTATAACAATTTTTTTAACATGTGCATTGTTCATGTATTTAACAAAAATCGTTTCATGCTGTAGAAAACACAGATAAAGAGTAAATTAAAACATAGAAAAATTATGTGCTGGGATTTTAATTTTTGAATTTCGAGCGTGCATTAGGGCCTTGTTGAATTCACTAACATTTTCCTATTCTGATGAGCGAATATCCTAACAAACAAATTGAAAAATCAATCTGTCAGATATCTAGAGATATTAGCTTAAAATAACAACTATAGCTGAGTAGTCTCCCGTATGGGACCTCAGTACCTGCTGGTGAGACTGGCTAACTAACAAAAACTCTTCAGTATTGAATATAGGTAGTCTTGATTGAATTTTAGTGTGTGGAATTGAAATTTTAGCACAAGAACAGAGACGGTACCTAATTTAAACTTTTATTGACTTAAATTATTGAGTTAATGACTCACAATTATAATAAAAAAGTATGTTTTGATTTTTGAGGAATGTTCGATCGAGGGTTTCTCTGCCGTTCTCTTTCCCCTCGAGAAATCCAGGTCGAGAACGGTACGATTTACTTTAATAATAAAGTAGACGTTTCACAAATTTTTCGTTTTTTTTCACATATCACAGCTTCCCTCAAATTTCCCAAATATTTGCTATGTCGGGCGCATGTCCAGTAAGTAAAATTGAGTAAGTTTCCACAACGTAGGACCTAATTGTTTTTCATTTCGTTTTTCAAAAGGTAATAAAAATTCACCGTTTAATCTTGCTGAAGGAACCCGGGTATGTCATACTACAATATCTATCTCTATTTACCTTATTAGCCAATTATGAAAATCTTTCCTTGCCTTAAAAATATTTTATTTGAGGTTAGGAATATACCAAACCTAACAGCAATGAACTAGAGAGAGAAAAGTATCCCCCACTATATACTGTATAGCTATCTTTGGACGTACTAAGAGAGATGACAAATGCCATACAAATGCCATATGCGACAACGGTCGGTGCAATTCCAGGTACGTGTAGTTTATGGTTCATTGGTTTTAATACTCGTGTTATTATATTTTTGTCTCTTCTCATTTCTACCGTGTATTTGTCAATGTGTCTTCAGCCTTAACGAAATCCAATGGTGCTAATTTTGGAGAAACTGCTCTCAGTAAAATTGTTTTCCACGAAGTTGAGTTTTTGAGATTGGTAGAGAATCTCCTAGTCCTTTTTTCTTTGAATGCAATTTTTTCCTTCGGCGGTGAACTTACCTGTTTTTTTGGCTGATGCTATCGTCGTTTCCGACCAACGTAAGTGAAAGCATATTGCATTGGGAAAGTATAGAGACGGAGATTTGCTTCACTGCTTGATGTGATTTGAAGTACCTTGGACTTTTGATATAATTTCGCTGTCACTTGAAATACACTAATAACGAAATCTGAATCGCTCACTTCACAGTTAAAACTTTGGTAGGTACTTGAACGACAGTAACGGATGCGAATAAAATGAAAATATCAAAAAATTCTTTTTTGATAATTCCGCAGAATAAACTTAGAAAAAATCTTGTACGCAACACGTTGCAAAACGCCGATATGTGTAATTCGTGTCCCAAAAATAGGCTTTTTTTAACTGGTTACATAAATAGCTATTTTAAGTGACTTCACATCAATGACTTGCGATGGACTACAAATTACAAACTGAAAATCATTTTTAAATCGGACAATACAACACGTTTAGCCACTAAGCAGTTTATTGATAAGCAATAAATGGCTCGTACTCGTGGCCCTAATTTAAATAAGCAAGAGCTCAAAAGTCTGTACCTATTTATATTTCAGGAGCGGCGGAAAATCGGTCAAAGTCGCTCGGCTTACAAACGCCAATTCCTTATAGTGAAGTCACTCAGAGTTATCCTACTTCGGTTTTGCCTCTAGTAACACACCCGGTAATAATTGATTCAATTTAATCAACAGCTAGTTAATTTGATAGTTTTCAGTATCACCAATACAGTAATCCTGCAGAAATTGTTGAGGCGTTCCCGAGGGATTCCATCAGGCCCAGGAATTTATGCCTGCTAAACAAGAATTCGTCCAGTTTGACGTCAGAAGTAGAATTAAATGGTTTGGTCATTAAGGAACGTCTAATGGCCAATAGAATACCCGAAAGTTGTGTTTAGTTGGTTAAGTTTTGGAAGTTTAATGCCGCCCAAAAACGAGACATTCGACCGATAGGTATATAAAATCGTCAATAGGTTCGTTTCAAAATGTACATATAATAAAATTATTGCTGTTGTTGTTTGAGGCATGAATCGAAATAAATGAAATTGGTTTCAACGTGACATTAAAAGTAGAATAAATCATTTCATGTGAATACAAAATATCTAAACAGTAGGTACCTACCTACCTACCAAAATATAGGTTGTATAGTATGAGGGAATATGAAAGTTTTTTGATATAGGCTCATAATAAAATGGATATTTATCATTATTAAAAATTATTCTACTTTGGAAATCGAATAATAGCTTATTCCAAGTTCTGAATCATTAGTCAACATTTTGATATTTGATTTGTCATCATCATTGATTATTTTTTTGTAGATATACAATATTCAAGAAATTTATAGGTTTTTATGTTACTATGTTTGAGAGTGGGAAAGTATATAATTTATAACATAAGTTGACAATTTTTCACATCACTTTTCATTAATTATTGAAACAAACAATTACTTGACAGTTTATGAAAATGTTGATTTCATATGGCTTTTGTTACATGAACATACTGCTTAGAAAGTGTTAATTATTATTGTTTTCATCTGACTATCTGAGGGAAGTAAAATAGGTAGGTACCCAGTTAAAAAAAAAAAGATAATGTAAATATTTTTACTTAATTTTTTTACTTATAAATAAGGATGATGGAAATTTGAGATTAAATATAAGTTTAAACAGTATCCAAAAGTTTGTGTCATTTTTACATATCAGTGCAGTGTAGGATCAACAGAACCAGTTCGACGTTTTTTAAATGACTGAGGCAGTTTTAAGTATGGAGTACGGTGTCTTCTTTTGCCATATCCCAGGAAACATCTTCGAGAGAATCTCTAATATTCGGCGCCAAACATTGCACCAAGTCGCTTCTAGGTGTACAGCTAGCATCAAATTTTTGAGTAGTCTCTTGACAAACATGGGATCCTGGATCCTGGGACATTCTCTGAAAAGTTGCAGCTTCTCTAAGCAAAATCGGTGTCGAAGCCAAAGCGTTTTTGATTCTATCGAGTGACATTTCACAGGACTCGTTTCAGACAAACTTACCTCCTTTTCGAAAAACTTCACATAGAAGGAAATCTAAAATAATTACAATAACGAACCTACGGTACCACAATATCCTGCTTATTATCTTACCAATATCTCAAGAATTATTAAAAAAAGTGGCACAAGAAAACAATTCTGAAGAGTTTAATATTGAGGAATAAAACTAGATTGGTTAGATTAGGTTTTACATGTATGTAAGCCAATTAAATGAAAATAAAATAGAAAACAAGGACCTTTCTGGTAACCTTGATAATAAAATATTTGGCACATTTCCTTAACCTAGAGCTCTTGGGATACTTCTTTTTCTGGAGGAGACTGCTGGCGTGACGTTAGTTGACCCAGACAGTGATCGTATCGAAGAATAGGTAAGTACCTATCAAGGAAAGAAAGGAACGAAAGTATCAGGTTTTCGTAGGCACCAAATGAAATTCCTGAATTTTTTGTGAAGTTTATAGAAAGAAGTTGATAAATATAATAGAATCAATAATCTATATTGTTCGAACAGTCATTAGAACGATACTCCCCTCTCACAAAATCGGATTAAATAAACATATCGAGGAAATCATTGAAAAAGGCCGCTTTAGTTCGCTATGACGGTTTGACAGTTTGCAATTTTTATCCCCAATTCATGTGCTAACAAAATAGTTCTGGGGCTATTTGCTGCAATAGTGCAAGAAATTTCTTTAGAAATATGGATGTGCGCATGCTCCTCATTAAAATCCCTGCAAGTTATTTCCCTGGAAGCGAAAATACAGAAATGTAAAGTAACCTGTAGATCGCAAAACTCACACTAGGTTTGACATCAATTTCCTCTTGAACCCTGTGCTTGATTATCATGGATTGTACGACTGCAGCTTGATTTTTGCGGATATATCTGACCTACGCAATTTTCAAACGATTCGTTTAGAGTGAACCACTGACAACTGAAAACCGTTTTTAGCACTTAGTTTGTAGCCTGATCTATACCGAACATTTCCATTTTAGTATCAGCCCAGTATATTTGTGAGCATTATTTATTCTTTACACAATAAAGAAAGTGATAGGTGAAACTGTGAACAATATATAACCTAGATTAAAAATTCTAACAGAAATGCCTTGAAAGTTAAAAAGGCACGTTTTCATAAACAATTCGGTTGTCAACATGGATAATTATTGTCAGTGATCGAGTCCAAAAGGTGTCTGAAAAACTCGGAAAACTGATTACTAACTTTCCGCCCCTGTGTATGATTTAAAGACGAGGTGTTTAAAAATGGTAAGTAATTTATTCGTGAAGAATCAAGCCACAATCCTTTCAAAAAGATATCGAACTTCACAGTAGGATTCAAAAGAAAATGAATGCCAACCTTAATGATGTAGGTTTTGCCCTTTTCCCTAATTTTGCTGGCGTGTTAGGACCTCTGAATCCATCCATCAATCTTCACATGCGCTATTATTCAAATTAAAAGGAAACGCTTTTTTCAAACAAAAGCCATTGGACTGCAAAGGCCTGGACTCCCCATCGATTAGAGGAATCTGACGAGGAACTATTATTAAATCTAAAAATGATGCTAAATACTTAGCATCCCTAACTACAGTTATTGGGGGTACATTGGTACTTGGTGCATTGATTCAACTTATATACAGAAAACTTACCTCCCCTATTATCTCGAAGTTGAAAATTTTCGAAAAAATTCACGTCAACTATAATTTGAAGGGGGATGGAGTTTTTATGCGAAATTCACTTTCCCCCTTTCAACTTCCCAGCCCCCAGAGCCCCCCTTAGAAAATCTTAAATGGGAAGGGGGGTCAAGTGATACATCATTTTGGAGGGTTTTCAATGTTTTTAATTCCATACATTTTGGTACTAAACTTTAATCCCTAAGATCAACTGTTTTGGAAATATTTGACAGTTAAAAATTGACTTTTTTGCAACTTTGACTGGCTGTAAGACCTAAGCGGTTAATTTTAGAGGAAACCCGATCTTACATTCTTATCTTAGATTTTCTTAAACTATTATTTGACACCAACTTTGAATAATTTAATCCATGATTGAAAATTCCAATTAAATTTAATCTCTGATAATACTTAAAGTTGGTGTCAAATGATAGCTTATGAAAATCAGAAAATCTAAGACAAGAATGTAAAATCGGGTTTCCCCTGAAATTAACCGTTTAAGTTTTACAGCCTGTCGAAGTTGCAAAAAAGTCAATTTTCAACTGTCAATATTTCCAAAACAGTGGAACTTAGGTATTAAAATTTAGTACCAAAATGTATGGAATTAAAACCCCACTCGACTCCCCTTCCCATTTAAGATTTCCTAGAAGAGTGGCTCTGGGAGCTGGAGAGGTGGATTTTGCATAAAAATTTATCCCCACCCAAATTATAGTTGACGTGTTTCAGGAATTTTTTCGAAAATTTTCTTCTGTTCGACTTCGAGGTAATAGGGGTGGTAAGTTTTAAAATGCACACCCTGCATATCAAAAGCCACCGTAGAAGAACCATCAGATATTTTAACAAGCTAAAGGAGGACTAATATGGAGAAAAATGTCCAATAATATCCAGTTCTGTTGTATTATTATCTCATTATGGAAGATTTTTTTCCTAGCTAGGATGAAAAGTATTGTTTTTCTTTAGTAGGATCTGCTGAACCAGTTTTGTTAAACTTAATTTGTCAACAGGACAACTAGAATAAAATAAGTCAGCATTATTAGAATTGTTCAGCACTGGGAAATGTATTTGTTTTCTACTTAACTATTATAGATCCATAATACCTAGGAAACGAAATGCGTTAACATACCAATAACAACCTGAGGGCATTATAAGCCTAGCGGGCGTTATGGTCTATAATGCCGGCTTATAATACCCTGAGGTGTTTATGTTGTTGTTGTTTTATTAATTTGCACTTCACCCTAGGCAGCCACTAAATGTCCGACCGAAAATAACTTTCCGTCTGGCCAGGATTCGAACCCCATCAACGTTTCCCATGTAATCGAGCGCGTTAACCCACACGACCACCGTTGCCTTGCATTATGAGATTTTTATAGATATATTAATTTATTTCGTTTCTAGGTACAGCTACATGTCAAAATACAAAACAATATTCTGTCACACAAGTTCAACTGATTTTGATTGATATGCTAAATTGATGAAAGAACATTGTGTTGAGTAGAAAATAAAGCTTTGTATGCACCACGGGGATTTTTAGATCATAATGCCCTTTAGGCGAAATATATCCCTCGGGCCAGAGGCCCTCAGGCTAGTTTCGCCTTCGGGCATTATAATCTACATAATCCCCTTGGTACATAAATAGCTATTATTAATGTTGAATTGAATGAATACAGATGAATTATGGATTTAAAGGAAAGTACTTACATTTAGGTATCGGGTCTTAAAAAAAAAAACAATTAAAGATTGCTATGGTTTTTTAAACGTATGTCTTAGCAATATTTTTCTTTAATTTTGTCAATGAACTTTAATGTCAAAATGTTATGTCATAACTCCTGACCAATAAAGAAACAATAATGCGACGTTCGTTTTCGTAATCAAAGCAATCTTTGATTGTTTTTTTTTTTTTTGAAGACCCGATAGGTATCTATTTATTAGTTAAGGAGACAAAGTTAAAGCTACAAACATTGAATTGATTGAACTAATACTTGGTGAAAATTGAATTAATCCATGGTTGGAAAAAGTGATTGATAATATTTTTTACTTAATTTTCATTAATTTATTTACCTACGAGCGTGCGGAAAGTGCACTTTACCGGACTTATTTGCAAATGGAATGTAGCACTTTACTGTACACTATGCGGTTAAGTTACTTTACCACATAGCGTGCAGTAAAGTAGACTACAAAGTGAACGGTGAAGTTACTTTACCGCATAGTGTGCGGTACAGTAGACTTTGGTATTTATAATCAAAAATCCTTTCTTTTTCAGAAAAGGGATTTTTTATCATTTCCTAATCTAATCTAATTTCATTAGTTAATGGGATTCATTTATCAATTTTATTAATGTCTTTTTTTGGAGATGTAGATGCTCATAACATTTTGCACCTAATGCGGAGAGTGCCTTTACCGCTCTTAACGGCTGGACTGCCGTTGCGGGCGGTAAAGTATTTTCCGCACTTGTTAGGTGAATAACTCTTACAATAGTAACATGTTTCGCTAGACTTTAGCTTCATCAGATTACCTATACATATGTAATGACAATATTATATGCAAAATATGTGTAATTAGTAGGCAACGGTTTCCTGTGCTAGTGATAATGAAACATGACTTTTGCAAATTGAGGAAAACCAGCTATTTAAAATATTATTTCTTCAAATTTTAACTTAAAAAAAAAAAACGTTTACTGAATAAAAATAAATGTTGCAAACTTGTATGTGCCCTCAAGTTTAGGATTGAACGAGCGCGCCACAGAAAACGAAGGTACCGAAACCGAACGGTAGCTAGAGAAGAGGCTATTAGGCATTAGAGAGACGGGAGAACAAGCTGGGGCTGGTCCGTTAGACACGTATCGCGTGTCTGTAATTATTCATTATTCAACTTTCATTGTTATTTTGCATTAAATTAATTGTTCAATCCAATTTATTATTAGTGTGTGTGTCAAGGAATATTCACAGGTTAGTTGATTAATTATTATTTTGTTTTTGAGAGTTCAATTTAT